TTGGCACAACATCACCCACACATAAACAAGTATGGACGAAAATAGGGAGTACCTGGTAAACCAGTGTTTTTATCGCGGAGTTGCCAGAGTCTTTCATTAATTCGCCTAGCGGTGCGTTCGAAAGTCTGCAAAAAGACATGTTATGACAAATATAAAAAACGTCTTCTATCAGATCAATTGTACATGCCCAAAGAATTCAGAATGACTACTAACGCTTACGCAAAAGATAAGGAGCCTGATGAGATATAGTTTGATAAACAAGAGTCACCTGGTCGCCCAGTAGACGCGATAAAATTCCAAATTCTACTAGAAGAGATCCAGCACCAGCCGTACACGTCTCTTCCACAGTATCAGGAAGAACACCGCGAATCAAATTCACCCTAGGATAAGGGATGCCTAAACATTGATAGCTGATAATGAGCAGAACACAAAACCAGGGCAAAACCAACCAGTCCTGGTTCCTTCAAAAGCAGGAAGAAGACGTGCAGCTAGATCATGAGCCAACGTTAACAGTTCACCGTCATAATCAGGCATGTAAAAATCTCCAAGCATGCGGGATTTATCCGATGCTATTAAGTGAGCAGACAGTAACGACCCGATAACCCTGACAATTTTTTGCGATCAGGTGCGAGAATTTGGAATAACCCATAGAATATCGAAAGACACTGGACTACCTTATGGTTGCCTCAAAAACTTGCACGGTTGTATTCTTTTCAAATGACACAGTATTGATGACAAGATGCACAGCTCGCTTGAATTCTTCATGATCTCCTAAGAAAAACTTTTTTAGTAATAATAATGAGAAAGACAGGTAATTGGTGATAAGAACATAACACATGAAAACAAAGTATCAAGCATGCATGTTGGTAATGATTAAATCCGCATAAAAAGGCGCATCTTGCTCTTTTGTAGCTGAAGTCTCCAAATTTTCCTTAATTGTTCTTAAGATTAGGTGTTCATAATCCTAAAGAGTTTTTTTTCTCAATACTTATAGCTTCGCTTGTTGAAAGATACTATAAAACAATTCGCTGAAGGTGTACGAGGACACACTAGCACACCTTAAGAGCATGAACGGACGCAGCGCATCGCATCAGATTAGCATTTGCGGCGATATGATCCAATAACAGTTAAGGGCAATTTCAATCTATGATTTAATACAAAGTGGTCAACCTGATATATTATGATCGTATCATCAAGGACTCGTTATGTCAGCCGTACAACCACTTTGAAGATAGAGATAGAGAGTTGAGCTATGAGGTTGTAAAGAGATAAATGGCGGTTTTACTTTTTTCACATATTTATTGCTAATTTGCTGCAAAGTTAAACATCATTTTAAAGTATTTCTTTCGCACTTTATTGTTATAATGAATTTTTTGTAGGATTAAACGCGAAAAAAATTTCAAATAATAGAAATAAGCCCAATTGCCAATTAATTTCTCTTGGGATGCGAGAAGCTGGAAAAATACTATAACGCCATCTAGTAGGGTGACTGAGTACGCAGATAACCAAAAAATCCATTCCCCTCCGTAGGACCTTACTGTAGGAGTACGGTAGGTATAGGATGTGAGGTCAAATTCACAAGTTTGAATGAAATGTAGTCTACTCTTGTTATGATTGATATGCTGATTTTAGAAAGATATCCCTT